TCTAGAATAATACAAAAGAAATCTAATTGGAGACACTGGAATCTACAAGTGCACTTGCTTTAGGCCTAACATTCGTTAAGCCTATTAGTACATACGGCCTATATTTGATAAATATATAAATTAACACTGTAACTTGTATACAATTTCTGCTTTAATTTAGTTATGGCTAAGCTTTGCCTTAGTTAATACTACCAATAAATAAACTTATGATGTTATTTTACGATCTAATGTCAGACATCTTTAAAACTTTGATAAGATTTTAATATATTGGTGTACAATAATGTCTACTAAAGTATATTTACATCTGCTGGAATGAAGTACATGTGTATTTATATAGTAAGGTAAGTACACATTTTTAGTATTATTATATCAACACTGTAAAAATTTGTGAAACAAGCTTTGCTATCATTTCAAGTCCAGAATAATCAGCCCTATTTTAAATATTTAATCTTATCTACATTATTCAAGTGAAATTCTATAAACTATTAATAGCTTTTCTACATTTTGGGAAACATATTTTCATTTTCAAAATAGTAGGAAAGAACCAAGAATAAATATATTACTTATAAATGAAAAACAAAAACTCAGAAAAAGTTTTCAGATAATGTATAACAAAAAATCATAAATCAGTAATAAAACTGTAATATTCAGGAGAAATGGAAAATAGTCCGTAATTTAACTCTCAAGTTACCGTAAGGTTACTATTCTACTATCAATCAGCATCTACTACAGCTATTAAAAATAACTACAAGTAAGCTTACAGTCTTCACTGGCAAGTTTCTCCATGAAGTCTGCCTCGAGCTGCTTTAAAACTTCATCTTCTCCACTATCTTCTTCCTCTTCTGGTCTTCTTCCATCATCTTGAGCTGAAATTAATCGACGTAAGCTAGCAGTTTTATGAGTAAATTAATTAATAAATATTGGCTAATTAGCTAGCAGATTTATCAATACATTAATCAACGTTAGTAGTTTTATGTATACGTTAGTCAATTAGTTAGCCAGCTGTTTTAATGCTACATTTAGTAATCAGTGTTCAGGAAGTTTTAAGTGTGAACTAATCAATCACATTACCTATCAAATTTGATGACGAGGAGCCCACTTTTTAGAAAATAAAAATTTGGAGACGGCTTGAATGGATAACGAAGAAAATTTTACTATAAATGTATAATGTTTCAATAAGATTGTGCCTTCATCAGATACATAATTTTGTAAAAACATTGTATCTTCTTCTTCCGTAGCTTTTTCCCGTATCTATTTTCGCTATTTTCGGTTTTGGCAGGGTTTTTACGGCCAGATGCCCTTCCTGATGCCAACCATCCCCTAATTTAGCAGTGTAAGACTAGAGGGAAG